GCCGGTAAGCGCCCTGGCCTGTGCCCCCGCCCCGCTTCGGCCGCGGTCGTAGCGGCCGCGCCCCGACCCGGATCCCGACCCCGCGCGGTCAGGCTTAAACTAGCCCCAAGCCCCGCAGCTACCCCCTGCCGCCGCCGGGACCCCACGCCGGCCCCGCGCCCCGCGCCCCGTCCTGTGCGCCGCGCTCCCGCTCCTCCTTCTCCAGAAAAAGTCGCCATTTTGGTTCACTACCTTCGCCGCACCCCCCACGCGTCCGCGATCGGCCCTTCCGGGGCCTGATTGGGTCCCTCACACTGCACCCGCGCCCCAACCTTTCGAAAGGCTGCAGGTGACGGGTGGGTGGGTGGCAAGGCATGGCCACCAGGTGTGCGTCCCTGACAGGCCTCATCTGTGCGCGCAGGCCTGGGCCTGGGTCAGCTTGCACCGTGATACTCCTGCTGGTATCTCAGTGGCACTTACGGACAGGACACCTCCACGCTTACAAGACCCCACAACCTGCACCCAGCGGGATGGGAAGAGACTCTGAAAGGCCTTTCTTGTCCCGTGGGGGAAATCACTGATGGAGTCAGGAGGGTGTCCAGATGATCCCTGAACTCCAAGCCTGGTCCTTCTGGTGCTAGATTGAAAAGCAGAGACCTGGCCTGCAACGCACACCGTGAGCTTTAGGTGTTTACTGCTGGCTGGATGACTGCTACCAAGAGTATCACCGTAGGAAGCTGCAGTCTGAGGGCTCCTAGCAAAGTTTGTTTGGTTGTCCTCTGGCCCTCTCTCCATCCAGGCCTGGACTGCCCAGGCCTGCCCTCTGGCTTTACCCTGGATCACCTGAAACAGAGACCTTGGGGTCTCTGTGTGGCTCAGAGCCCCACATCCACCTCCAACACTTGGGGTGGAGGATCTCCAGCCTGAGTGGAACAGACCCATGGAGGCCCAGTGCAAACAGGAGGGGCCCCCTCTGGGGCCAGGCTAGTGGTCCTGGGAAGCTGGGCTTAGCTGCCTGTGGTCCCTGGCTGGAGATGATGAAGCTATGTTGGTGGTCCCAAGGCAGGAGACCAGCGACTCCTAGGGTGGCAGCAGAAGCGACAAGAGGCGGGCACCAGCCTCTGCCAGGGCACATGGGCTCGTTGGAATATGAGCAAGTGGCTTGGAGGTCCTAGGTCTGCTCACCAGAAGTGTTGGGGGCCCTCAGGCATTGGAAATCTTCCAACTGTAGCTTGGGCAGAAGGACCCAGGTGTCGAGTGCACAAGTCAGTACTGCTAGGGCCAAGTGGGGCGAGCTCAGCTCTGGGCTATCTCATGGTGTCCTGGATGATCCAGTGGCCCATCTTTTGTGTCTTAATTAGCCCCAGGATGGTGCACTCTGCCTCCTTGCCCCTAGGTGCAGACACATGCTTCTCAGCAAGTGTCTGGTGAGAGGCATCTTAAAGCTACATGTGGCAGGGAATACCAGACGAGGTCCTTCAAGTGGATAGTTTCTCCTGGATTGTCCCAGACCTCAACAGGACAGCCCCTCCCCAGAGTCAGAGGTCCCTGGCCCCCTCCTCAATTAGCCCTGTCTGGGGAAGGGACAGAGTAGCCCAGAAGAGGCTGTCAGGTGCCTCGGGCCCTAGGCTTCTTGTCCTCACAGGCCTGGTCACTCGCTCTGCAGCCATGACTGACCCTTTCTGTGTGGGTGGAGGTTGCCAGCTCCCAGGGTCCAGCAAGAGTGGTCCTGGCAAAGATGCAGGCCGGAACGAGGTCCGACTTCCGGTGATGCATGAGCCCCCCAAGCTTGGTGAGAGGTGGCATGGGGAAGACAGGGGCCTTCCCCAAGGGTGGGCAACTTGGAGCAGCAGGAAATTGGGTGTTGTGGAGGTGTGCAGGTCTGTCCGGCCCCGAGCTTGGCATGTTATTTGTCACAGGAATGTCAGTGGTCCGAGGTGAGCAGACTATGCCCAGCCAGGCCTCACTCTGCTTCGACCCGGGAAGCCCAGCCAGCGACAGAGCAGAAGGGAAGAAAAAGGGGCGACCCAAAGCAGAGAACCAGGCTCTCCGAGACATCCCAGTGAGCTTCTAAGGGCTGGGGTGGGGCTCACTAGGGCCTGCCGTTGGTGTCACCACCTGCTCTGCAGCAGCTTCATGGCCAGCCTGGTGCTCCAGGGTATTGGCGATGGCCAGACAGGCCTTCATTGTGGCCGTAAGCCCAGTGGAACAGGTGTGAGCACCTACGACAGACAGGTCCAGCATAGGGCTGCCATTCGGGTGGTTGGCCTCTTCTTACTGTGATCCCCACATTGAGGGCCCAAAGAAGGCACTGTGCCTGGGGCTTGGGTCAGGCGGAGGTGGCCCCTGGGGGTCAGCAGCCTGACATTGTCTGTCCCCAGCTTTCTCTGATGAACCAGTGGAAGGATGAATTCAAGGCCCACTCAAGGGTGAAGTGTCCAAACTCGGGTTGTTGGCTGGAGTTCCCAAGCATCTATGGCCTCAAGTACCATTACCAGCGTTGCCAAGGGGTAAGGAACAGATGGCTGGGGACAAGGAGGCCCGACTCTGCCTGCCCTCCCTGTCAGTGTTCTGTCCTGCATACCAAGGGGTGCCTGGGCAGTCTTCTGGGGCAGGCCCTGCTCACATGTGCCCTTCCCATACAGGGTGCCATCTCTGAAAGGCTGACTTTCCCCTGCCCCTTCTGTGAGGCTGCATTCACTTCCAAGACCCAGTTGGAGAAGCACCGCATCTGGAACCACATGGACCGACCCCTGCCTGTCCCAAAGCCCGGGCCAGTCAGCCGGCCAGTCACCATCAGCCGGCCTGTTGGGGTCAGCAAGCCCATAGGTGTGAGCAAACCTGTCACCATCAGCCGGCCTGTGGGTGTCAGCAAGCCCATTGGCATCAGCAAGCCAGTGCCAGTTAGCAGGCCTGTGCCAGTCACCAGGCCCGTCCCAGTCACCAAGCCCGTCCCAGTCACCAAGCCTGTCCCAGTCACCAAGCCTGTCCCAGTCACCAAGCCCGTCCCAGTCACCAAGCCTGTCCCAGTCACCAAGCCCGTCCCAGTCACCAAGCCCATCCCAGTCACCAAGCCTGTCCCGGTCACTAAGCCCATCCCGGTCACCAAACCTATCCCGGTCACCAAGACTGTCCCGGTCACCAAGCCCATCCCGGTCACCAAACCTGTCCCGGTCACCAAGCCCATCCCGGTCAACAAGTCTGTCCCTATCACCAAGCCTCCACAGGTCACCAAGCCTGTCACAGTCAGCAGGCCCATGCCAGTCAGCAGACCTGTTCCTGTCACCAAATCCACGCCAGCAGTCACCAAGCCTATACCACTTGCCAAGCCTATGCCAGTCAGCAAGCCGATACACATCACAAAGCTAGTGACAGTTGCGAAGCACATGCCGGTCAACAGGCCTGTTGCCATCAGCAGACCCACACCACCCTGCAAAATGGTGCTGCTGACCAAGGCTGAGAAAACACGCAGCATGGGGAGGAACAGTGGTAAGAAAAGGTACGGGGCCTGTTGTGGGCCAGGGCTCCTGGGCTGCAGCCTGGTACCCCAGAGTCGGCCATCTGCCCCTCACTCACCCCACTGCTTACAGGGCTGCAGATAGTCCAGATGCTTGCCCCTTGGCACCAAAGCTGGCAAGGTCAGAGAATGGGGAGTGCAGCTCGTCCACAGAGGGCCAGAGTTCAGGATTGCAGCTAGGTGTCGCGTCCACGAGCAGTCCCCTCTCACAAGGCAGCAGTACCTCAGGAGGCACAGAGACACCTCAGGTCATGGGCCGTGCATCTCCACCTGAGGACCCAGAGCGGACAAAGCACAGTAAGATGAGACGGGGAACAAGTACGGGGTGGCCTCTGTTTGCCTGCCATCTGACCATCTTTCCCCTCTTCTCTTTCTGAGTCAGGAAGGAAACAGAAGACCCCCAAGAAGTTCACTGGGGAGCAGCCATCCATCTCTGGGACCTTTGGACTCAAAGGTAAGACTCTAGATGGGCAAGCACTTCCCTGACTGGGCACATGTGCACTCATGCACATACCCACACCTGCCCTGGGTGTGCATTCCTGTGAAGGGGACCTTTGTTCACTCCTGGCTTACTTATATGTGCACATGTGTGCTGGGGGCTCTGTCTACATCCACCCTGCCTGCATGTGCATTGCTATGTCAGTGTCTCCTGCCTGCACTGATGCCACCCTTCCTGTGAGAGGAGGTATATGCTAGGACCTTCTACCTGTGTATGCACACACATGACAGGGCTCTGCTTATACCTACCACACCTGCACACGTGTGCACACAGGACTGGCCAAGGCGGAGGACAAAGCCCGCATCCACCGTGCCAAGAAACAGGAGGTAACAGGCCCCGAGGACATACGGAAGAAAGTGCTGGCTGTTACCAGTGTCACCAGCAAGGAGGTGCCAGGGCCCGGGACTCATTCAGCTCTAGGTGAGAACCACTGAGTGGTGCCTCAGGTCTGTGCTGTAGGGCTGGAGTGCGGGGTCAGGGCTGAGGCTCAACCCTGGGTTCTGCATCTGGTATCCAGGGGATCCAGGAGCCCAGCAAGGCCCTGAGGCCCTGGCTTTGCCCTGTAGGTGGCCCTGAGGAGCACTGGCAACGGGCCATCCATGAGCGAGGTGAGGCCGTCTGCCCCACCTGCAATGTGGTCACCCGTAAGACCCTTGTAGGGCTCAAGAAACACATGGAGGTGTGCCAGAAGGTGAGGCCAGACCCTGGGGCAACTAGGGTGTGAGGAGGGGGCCCAGGCCTGGTGAGACCTCCCCAACATGTGAGGCTGGGGCACTGTCTGGCCAGATTCCCCAGGGCACCCAGGGCACTGGGAGGCCCAGGACCCAGCAGTGATGAGTGACTCTGTCTGTAGCTGCAGGATGCACTCAAGTGCCAGCACTGCCGGAAACAGTTCAAGTCCAAGGCAGGCCTCAATTACCACACCATGGCAGAGCACAGCTCCAAGGTGCACCCTCCTGGCCCAGGCCCAGCCCGCTCCCCAAATGAGCCCTTGTCCAGTCCCTCAGCTCAGCTGACCCTGTCTGTTCTCATCCACTGCTGTCCTCCTCTGTAACTGGCCTTTTGTTGGTCGCGCTTGGTGGGGTTCATTGTGATAACCTCATGTCTGACCTTGGGTATCTGCCTGGTCCCCAACTCCTGGGCAAGGTTGGAAGTCCTGTATGTCTGGGGCCGACACTGATGCTACCCTGTGCCCCTAGCCCTCTGACACCGAGAACTCGGAGGGCGGCGAGCAGGAGGAGAGAGAGAGGCTGCGCAAGGTGCTGAAACAGATGGGGAAGCTACGCTGCCAGCAGGAGGTCAGGGGCGGGGACACCCGGTGGAGGTGGGTGTGGGAGTGGAACATGGGGCGGGGCCGACAGGAGAAGTGGGGGTGGCTATAGGGGGAGGGGATTTGAGTAGAGGCGGGAACACAGGCGGAGATCGGTGTGGGCATAAGACATGGGGCCCACCTTGGGGTGGGGCAGGGGCTGGGGGCAGGACAAGGGACTCACTCACATAGAGGTGGGCCTGGGGACATGGGGTGGAGATGGGTGTTGAGGAGGGAACCCGAGGAGGAGACAGCGCTAGGTGAAGGGCGGAGATAGGTGTCGGGGGAGGGACGGGGACGGGAAGGCCATGGTACAGAAATATGGGGCAAATATGATGGGACATGGTGGGGGACACGGGATGGATATGGAGATCAGGGGGTGGAGACGGAGGTTGATGTGGAGATTTGGTGGTGATGGAAGCTGAAACGCAGGAGGGAAGACATGAAGATCAGAGGGAGCGAAAAACCCGGAGGTAGAATCAAGAGGGTTAGGTGGAGGATTTGGAGACTGGGTGGGGACCCACCTCAACCCAGAACAATTGGAGTGTGTTCTGAGTCTCATCTCCAGGGCTACCAACATGGCCCCTTCTCTCTGCCTATTCTCCAGGGCTGTGGGGCCGCCTTCTCCAGCCTCATGGGGTACCAGTACCACCAGCGGCGCTGCGGGAGGCCACCCTGTGAACTGGAGAGCCCATCCTTCCCCTGTGCCCACTGTGGCAAGACCTACCGCTCCAAAGCTGGCCATGACTACCACGTGCGCTCAGAGCACACAGCCCCGGTGAGCCAGCAGCTGTGGTCCCAGGCCCACGACCACACCCTTTTTGGCCTCACCTTCTCTTACCTCCACCTGTATTGCCCCTCAGCCCCCTGAAGAACCTGTGGACAAGTGCCCTGGTTCTGAGAACCTGCTAGGTGTGGAGCGGACACCCAGTGGTCGTATCCGCAGGACTTCGGCCCAGGTGGCCGTGTTCCACCTGCAGGAGATTGCAGAGGATGAGCTGGCCCGAGACTGGACCAAGCGGCGGATGAAGGATGACCTTGTACCAGAGACTGCACGGGTACCAACCTGGGGCCCCACTGGTCATCACTTTGAGATCCCAGCCACCTGATCTCTAGGTGTGGTATGTCCTAATGGGCTGGACCAAGGGTAACTTCCTTGCTTGGTGCCTGTCCCCACAGCTTAATTACACACGGCCAGGCCTCCCAACACTTGACCCCCAACTGCTGGAGGTATGGAAGAACGAGGTCAAGGAGAAGGGCCATGTCAACTGTCCCAATGAGGTACGCTGGGGAGGCTGCTGGGGACCGTCCTCAGGGACAGGATACTTAAGTATGGTCTTCTGATAAAAACAGGTGGTCAGAGCCTGAAATGTGTTGGGGTAGCTTGTGCTACTGACACCTACAGGCAGTTCTCTGTGACTCTTAGCTCCCACAAGACCCTAAGGCAGAGACCCCTATCAGGGGGAGCTACCCAGAGCCCTCAAACAGCTGGGACTAAGTGGCCCACTCGCCCTGCAGAGGCTCTGTTCCCTATCTGGGACAGGTTCTCTGGGAACCCCCACACACTGTGCCTCTTGTCCCCCAGTGCTGTGAGGCCATCTACTCCAGCGTGTCCGGACTCAAGGCCCACCTCGCCAGCTGCAGTAAGGTTGGTCCTGCCCAGCTTCCAGTTATGCGTTGGTGTCACATCTACAATGGCTAGCACGCAGCCCCTTCCTGCCATCTTCAGTGGCTCCCTTCCAAGGTGCCCCACTAGTTTCACCAGGGTCACCCTGATCTGGCTTGCTTGCTGACCCTGGCAGGGGACACTCTACAAGAGAATAGCCCAGCAGGCAGAGGGACCTCCTAGAGATGGGCCTTTTTGCCCACCTTTCTCTCCTGTCATCTCTGACAGCAGCGGCCACCAGGTGCATGCTGCCCCTGAAGCCCACCTAGTCCCGCCTCAGCAGCAAAAGCTTGTCCACGAATGATGCTGCTCTCAAGTCCTTCTCCCTTGAGCCACTGAGTGAGGGTCTGGTACTTCTGCCCCGGCTCGGGTCTGGGGGCTGCAGGTCCCTAGGACTAGGGGCCAATTTGTGGGTGCTGTGCCACCCCTGCGTTGCAGGGAGACCACTTGGTGGGGAAGTACCACTGCTTGCTGTGTCCAAAAGAGTTCAGCTCTGAGAGCGGAGTCAAGTACCACATTCTCAAGACCCACTCGGAGGTGAGGGGCAGCCGGGGGGCATGAAGGCAAGGGAAAGCCAAGGTCATGGAGGTGAGTGACAGCTGGGGACATGGAAGTGAGGGGCAGCCAGGGGGCATGAAGGTGAGGAACAGCCAAAGTCATGGAAGTGAGAGACAGCTAGGGACATCCAGGGGACAGGGGAATGAGAGGGGAATGACCAGAGGGCAGCAGGGTATGTGGTGGGGAAAGGCTGGTGGCAGCCAAGGGTGGGTGCAGGAATGGGGGGTAGTGGCTGTGAGATGTTTGGCCACAGTCTAAGGACAGTTGGCTGAGAGGCCACCCCTCAAGGAGCTGAGGCACAGCCTGTTTGTGAGAGATCCCTTTAAGTACATGCCTGGCCTTTTAGCTGCCCCTCGGGGCATGTCCACCCTGGAGGTTCCACCGGCTGTTTTTTTCCATCCAGAACTGGTTCCGGACCTCTTCACACTCCCCTCCCAAGCACAGGAATCAGGAACTGCTGGAGCCCCAGAAGGAGAAGGGTGTGGAGAGAGGGAAGAAGCGAGGCCGCAAGCCCAGGGAGCGGCCTGCTGAGGAGTCTGCAGCCAAGCTGCCCCCACGGTGTGATGACTGGCCATCAGGGGCCAGAGACAAGGGGGGCCGAGGCTCAGCTAGCCGAAAGTTGGGGGTTGGCAGAGCACCTGAAAAATGAGCTTGGTGGTGGCAGGTCACTGGGTCTGGCCCTTAGGTTGTCCCCTGTGCTGTCCATTCAGAGGGGTGGCAACTCCAGCTTCCTCCTGCCCCGCTTGTCCTCTATCCCCTCCATCTGTCCAGTGGGTCAGGGCTAACCAGTTTCTCCCCTCCGGGACGTGCCCACCCTTGCTGCAGACCATTGAGCTGGCAGTGGGCCTCACTGGGCAGAAGCAGAGGTGACCATGGAAGTGCAATAGTCCAGAGAGAGGACCTGCCTCCCTCCGAAGGCCCCTGTCAGTAGCTCCTGGGGCCAGAGGAGGGGCAGCACCTGCATCCAAAGCACCATGAGTCGGGCCACGGAGCAGGCAGGTGGCAGCAAACCTGGGCCCTTGCCACCTGAGCACCATGCCTGTCTGATGTGACCCTGGGTCCCTTCCTTTCCCCTGAGCTCCGTCTGTGGTCCAGTGGCTCCCCCACTATGGCCCAGAGTCCTTAATGGCCCAGGTTCTTGGCTAGTGAGGACCTCCAGTCTCAGCAACCACTGTCCCAGTAACTCACTCCCACCCAACACTGGAACTCCAACACCCCAGCTACCTCCCAGGAAGGCCTGTGCCTGCCCTCCGCCTGCCAGGCTGTCCCTGCCCTGTGCCTCTGGTCCTCTGCCTTTGCTCTCTCTACCTCTCCAGCTGCCTTCTGTCCTTGCTGCCCTACAACCCCTCCTCAGCTTCACTCTACTGGCCTGGCTCCCTGTGGTGGAGAGGTGGCCTCACAGTGGAGGCTCACCCAGGTATCCCCAAAAGTTCTCCCTGTTTGGTGGAAGAGCAAAGCTTCATGGCCTGGGGCCCCCAAAGGGGTGAATGACTGTGGAGCTTGCTCTGCCTTGCCCTTGAACCTTGCTGAAGCCAGTGGCCAAGGCAAGTGTAGCCTGATGGAGCTCTGGGGTCCTGGAGCTGGGAAGAGGTGGGGGTCCACAAACAAGTGTGGCTGGGGGTTAGGTAGTGAGCCCAATGCCTGAGGAGGCATCTCTATGGGAAGGTACCTTTCCTGGTGGCTGGTCTAACCCCTGGTCCAGCCCTGGGGCACCTCTCCTGGGCTTTTTACCTGCCTCTGCTTCTGGCAGTGTAGCCATTTGATACAGAAGACCAGCAAGGGCACAGGGCTTGGCTTGTATAATCCCAAGTTGGTGGCTGAGGCAGGACTTCATCCTCAATCCCGTTGGGGCTCCAATGATGGGATGGACTGGAGGTTGCCTGCATCCAGCAGGGAGGCCAGGGCACTGCAGGATGTGGCCAGCCAGTCTCAGTGCTTCCTCCCAGTCCTCCCGGTTTGCTTGCAGGAGGACATTCCCCCTCCGCTAGGGGTAGAGAGAGATGAGCTGAGGGCTTGGCCTCACCAATTCTAGATGATGTGAATTTTGATAGTTGCCCTGTGTGTGTTTCCTGGGTGTAGTGGATGCCAGTTTTGTTGCTGTGACAAGTAACAACCTTTTTTTAATTCTGTTTTTTATATGAAAATTCACAACAATCTGACATTTTTGGTGCTAAGGGTTTCCTGGTGCCGATGTGAGTCTGGGGCCCCTGTGGGCCAGGCAGGGCATTGCCCTCTGGCGTTAGGGTTCCTCTGTTCTGTGGACCTCTGCTCAGGAAGGTGGTGCTGACTCGGCTCTGCTGGCCCCCAGTTCCTATCATGAGTTCCCAGGCACCTAGAGAAAATGGACTGGAAGCTGGGCCTTGGGGTGGGTTCCAGGAAAGCTCTTTTGCTTGGGGTCATCTGTGTTTCCTTTCTGAATTCCTCTGATCTCAAGGCATTGGCTTGAGATTTGGAGATGGGGGCATGGACACAGAATCCCTCCTCCACACACACACACACACACACACACACACACACACCCCTTGATCTGATAAAGAGATGGCTGTACATGTGAAGGTGGGAAGGGTGCTTGGTGAGGCTGTGGCAGCCCTGGGGCCCAGGACTGTGCTGTGCTCCTGGTCTGAGAGCTGCAGGGGAATGGAGATAGGTAGGCACCCAGAGGGAGGGAGCTGACCAGAAGTGGAGGGAGTAGGTTCTATGGATGTTACCTGTAGCTGGAGTGTCACCTATGGCCAAAGGAAGGGAAGCTCCAGTTTCTCCATGTACGTGGCCCTTGGGGGACGGAGAAAGGTCCCTGGCCTAGCTGGGGCTGAGTTTATAGGAAACTCCTGCAGTCCCTGGACCTGCTAGTAGAGGAGGGTCCTGGGAACCTGAGGTTTAGCACTTTAACTCTCTTCTCCAGGTAGGGGTGGGGGCTGCTGCTGCACATGGCTGTCGAGTTGGGTCCCTTCTCTGCTTTCCTCTTCCCCCTCCCTCGGCCTAGCCTGGAACTCAGGATGACTGGCTGGTCGCGATCTGTAAACCCTGCTGGGGAAGGAGACACCTCTGGGCAGCCTTTATTACCCACCTCCCACCCTGGCATTAACATATGGGGGCTGCAGCCTGGTGAAGCCCTCTGCTCTAGGGTGTGTGGCGTATAGCCCGTGCCCAAAGTTCAAGCCCCCTGGTGAAGAGATGGCCATTGGGTCCTTTTCTGCAGATCTACCTCCGGCCCAGCCCACCTGGTGCCCTGAGAACAGGAAGGGCTGCTTTGAGGGGCTGACACACAATAGGATGCACTTTATTTGCTGTCAGAGGCAGAGGACGGTGCCTCCTGGTGTGACCTTTGGCCACTGCTGGCCAGACCCTCAGCCTCTGCAGTGTGGCTGCCCCAGCGCGGTCTGCCAGCCCCTGATGCACCGGAGGCCGGGATGCAGAGGGCCAGACAGCCTCCTCTCCTGCCTGGTGGTCACGTGTTCTGTACTTTGGGTTTTAAAAGGCCAGTTCTCAGTATATAAGTGCATTTTGAAAGAGGTTCCCGCCATCACTTGTAACCATATATATATACACATATATATTCTATCTACAAAGTGTTTATTTGCAAGATGTTTTGATGGTGAGCTCGGGCGCTGCCCACTTTGTGACCATCTGTCCCTGGTCCAATGCCTGCCTTGTCCCTCTCTCCGGAGGTGGGGGCGGGCCATCAATTGTATGTATTAAAAATGTATCAAATAAATGTTTATTGATTTTTTTTTTGCAGGATTTTGTGTGGCTGAGTTTGTGGTAAGGTGGGCGGTGGGAGAGTGTGCGGCTTCCCGGGTGACAAAGCTGCAGAGCCCGCGAAGCACGACAGCACCTGCAGGTGGCTTTCAAGACAGACCCCAGTGCAGGGAGAGGGAAAGGGAGGGATATGGCACGGCTGGCCTTAAACTACAGCTCCCAGCAGCCTGTGCGTGCTGCCTCGAACTACAGTTCCCGGCGGCCTTTGCGAGCGGCCCCGAGCCCGGTCAGGCCTCCGGCCGCCACGATACCCCACTTCCATGGATGCACCCCCGGTCTCCGCAGCCACCACCCCCTCGCCTTTGCCCCCTACTGCAGCTGGAGAGCCGCCTGATGGGCCAGAGGAGAAGAGCGAGACTGCGTGCGAGGACCGGTAGGCGGAGAGGTGGTTTGAGTGAGACGGGGAGGGGCGCACGTGTGGGAGCGGGAAGAGGGGCGGGGAGGCCCATGGCAGCTGCAGTCCGGCCTGGGGTCCTTGTCCCGCGGCCAGGCCGTGCACAGCCCTAGCCTGACTCTCCCCCTTCCTCAGACTCCATTTCTGAGGCACTGGGGGAGGGTGCAGGACTTTATTCCCTTGTGGGCACGTGGTGATGTCAGCGCGTGCACACATGCGCACGCATAGAGCAGTGTCAGACATCACGTGCATATGTACATATACACAGGGGTTGTCAAACGCATATGCGCTCTCAGTAGTGAAGAATGTGCAAACACGCGTAAACACAATGGTACCAAATGCACACCTGTACATACACACGCGCTGCACACAAAACGGTGGTACACACATGCACTCAGCAGTGTCAGACACGCACATGTGCGTGCGCACACACTGGATTCAGGAGTACGTGCTGTACATAGTGGTGTCACAAATGCACGTGTAGCAGGCTTTGGCCACAGGCAGGGCTTCTGACAGTGAGGAAGCATCACCCAGGCCCCAGGTGTCTACAGACATTCCATCCTCAGAACCACTGACCTGGAGTCTGGAAGCTCCTGAGGTGGCAAGGGTCCAACCCACGCTGCTTCTGGGTAGATTTGCACTTGGTGCCTGTAACTACGTCACCTGAGAGAGGGGCCAGAGGATGCAAGCCCTATCCAGCTTTACTAGACTTCAGAGAAAGTGTTCAGGGACTTGTGGAGTATAGTCAGAGAGGAACATTCTGACCCAGGAGTTCTGGTGCTGCCCCAGTCCACGAAGTGGTCAGGAGGGAGTGGCCTGGGCTGGAGCCTTTGAATCTGGGCCATGAGAGGGCAGAGGCTGGCAGAACCTGGGCCTTCCTCCTCGCTTCAAATCTGCAGTGGCCCCTCTCGGTGTAGAGTGGAATTGCAAGGAAAACCACCTGGCTTTGGTAGCTGCCCTGCTCAAACACCTATGTTCAAGGCTGCCACCCTGTGTACCTGGTCTGCCACACTGACCAGGACAGGACTCAGAGAGGTAGTCATCAGGCACAGTTCTCTGGACCACTGCTTGATGAGAGCCTTTCCCAAGCACCAAGGGTTCCAGCTCCAGTGTCCTGGCAGGTAGTCACCCTAGGTGAAGAGCCTGTTGCTGGACACAACAGCCTCTTGCACACTTTGACAGTGGAGACTGGTTTAGGTTGGACAGGAACCAAGTTTGCCACCTCAACTCTTTGTAAACTAATTAGCCCACGATTAAAAAAAAAAAGAGGAGACCCAGTGAGTACTCTGCTCAGCTCACCCAGCTCTGTTGGGTCACATGGGGCTCTTGGCCTGAGGAGGTGGACACTGTTCTCACTCCTTTTTGGGGCAGGCTTGGGGTTTTATGCAGTTTTTCTCCTGCCATTCCTGCTCTCAGTGCTTTCTGTATTCCACCCAGCCAGCCCCCTGCACTGCTGGCCCTCTGTCCAGAGTGACCACTCTCCCTGAATGGTCTCTCTGACCACACAACAGTCAGCCTTCAAGTGGTGTCCTCTGTCTGCCTTGCCCACTGTTTACTGTGGACCCTCAGCATGTAGGCAAGAGGACAAGACTGTCCAGTCTCACCCCTTACCAGGGCTCTCCAGAGACCTGAGAGATGATTCAGGCATCTCCTGGGTGGGTGGACAGACGGGGAGCTCATCCTAGGATGTGTGGGAGAGGCCCTCAGGGGTGATCATCCTTGCACTGTTTCAGTCCTTTGGTGCCTCTGGGTGCCATTCTCCATTCCCGCATTGCCGACACTGCATCCAGCTCCAGAGCTGGTGCCAGACCCCATGGGGATAGCCCCCTTCTTCCTGTCTTGATCCATCACATGGCTAAGGGTGAGGGGCTGCATGATGGGAGCATGGTCCAGCAAGCTAGGCAGCCAAGCAAATAAGACTGTTTTGGGTGACAGCAGCGCACTGTCAAGTACTTGGTCCCTGCCTCTCCCATGAGGTACATCTCCCAGGTTCTGGCCTCTGACAGTTGAATGCTGGCACCACAGCACTTCCTCAGGGTTGCCTGTCATTCCGGCCACACTGCCCACAGGCTTGTCACTGCAGGTGTGCATCTGAGCTTCAGGACCCAGCGATGGGGTTGAGGGGGGTTTCTGAGGCAGGTGCGCAGCAGCTTGGTGGAGGAGAGCTAGCTGAGTCAGATTGGCACAGGACAAAGCATAGGACAGGTTGTGCATTCAGCTGCATCTATCTCAACAGCCCTGCTCACCTGAAAGGCAGCTTTTCCATAACTGTCTAGCTCCAGTGGTCATAGCCGACCAAGGGCTCTACTCTTCTTGACACACTACAGGATGAGTGTCTGGTTTGTGGGGCTAGCTGCCTGGAGGGATGAGGCAGGCAGCAGAGGGCTGCAGAGGGCTGTGGGCAGGGCTGTGTCAACAGCTGTCAGCTTGCACCTGTCTTCTCCCAGCTCCAGCCTGTTGGGCTCGTCCCATGAGTGTCTCTAATCCCTGCTGGCAGCCAGACCCTGAGATCCCCATTCTGCACCCTTGCAGGGCTCAGCTCTGCATTCCCAAATAGGGTATGCTCTCTCTGTCCTGGATCCTATCAGGAGAGAAGTACTTCTGCTGTGCAGGTAGGCAGGCTGGTACAGCTCCAGTTACCTGAGGGTAAAGCTGCCACTGCTCCTGGGAGGGAGTCCCTCAAGTGTGTGAATCCTTTCAAGTATGTGGTAGTGCACCTTAGGTGTGCACAAACCTGATAGGTGAATTTCCTGTTGGAGTTGTGAACCTGCCTCAGGTGTATGAACCACTAAGTTGTGTGAATCAGCATCAGGTGTGTGACACTGCCCCACCCTGAGGCCACAGATGTGTGAGCCTCCCTTACCTGTGTATATCCACACAGGAGTATGAGCTTCAGCTCAGGTGTGTGGTTCCACTTCAGGTGTGGAATCTTTCCTTATGGATGTGGGAATGCCAACAGATGTGTGTGAAACCTTTATTGACTTTATGAAACAACTTTGTGTGAGCCTGCTTCTCAGGGTCGTGATGTGAGCCTCCTTCAGGTCTGTGAACCCCACACCCTTTTCTACTTTCCCTGAGCCCTGTCGGCTCCTCCATGAAGAAAACTACACAGATGGGGGCCCAGGGTCACTGGTAAAAATCCCCGTAAAGCCTTTTGCATCTGATGCACATCTCACCACTAGCCTTTGCTGAGGCCCAGTGATCTCATGACCTGTTCCCTCTCCGGCCGGCAGGATTGGGAGGTGGCTGTGGGGAGGGGAGTGACTGCTGGCAGAGTGCTTGGTGGCTGAGGGGTGGAGCTGGGGCCCTCGTGGGGACAGAGAAGAGCAGTTATTCTTAGACGCTGCCTTGTGTCGGGTTTCAGATTTGTTTGTGCCGAGGAGGCACTTTGGGCTGTACAGCTTCAGCACTGCCCTGGGTCAAGGGTGCCCATGAAGGTTCTGCAGGCCCAGGCCCAGTGTCTGGAACTGGGGGCAGGAGCCTTCAGTAAGCTCTGGGCCGAGCAGGAGGCTGATGCCACAGCATAGCCGTGCTATTATTAATACCTGCATCCTGTGATCCTCTTAGACTGATGCCGGCCTCTCCTTGCCCAGGCCCCCGCCCACTGCATGGCCACCCCATAGCATCCCCCAGGGAGGGTAGTCCAGGTGGCCGGAGCTCCTGAGTGCCACCCCTGCTGGCACCTGGGCTGCCAGCACACCCACCTCAGGAGCTTTGCACCTGGAGCTCCCACCTACTCAGCCATGAGCAGCCCCCCAGCTTACCCCAGCATCAGGATCTCGGGGTGCTGGACCCTTGGAGCAGAGGGCAGGTGAGTCTGGCCCAAGGCTGTGCTGGTAGCCGCCCTGGCTCAGCCTTGTCGCGTGTCCATGGAAATCAGGAAACAAACAGGACAGCCCCTTGGGAGCCCTGCTTGAAGCACTGTTCTTTGGGTCACAGTCAAATTTTTTGTGGCCAGAAACATCTTTGTCTGAGGGAAACAGGGTGGGGAGGTCTTCATACAGCCATCACGCCCAGGGGACCCAGAGAGGCTTGGCTTTGCGGGCCCCAAATGGACTGAGGCCACACGGGCGAGGGCTGGGCTTGGCTACAGGTGCTGCTGACGCTGCTCCGGCACGGGTGGGTGGATCTTGGCAAGCCGTCTCCGGCCTGTGTGTCACGGCCTGAACTGCTCTTGAGGGAGCCTGCTGGCTGTAGCCAGTGCCCAAGAGCAGGGCCGTGTGGCCCTCACTGTTTCCTGTATGTGCTTTCCTTGTATGACTTGAAGGCGGCTGGACAGAGAGCAAGGGCTCGTTGTGGGCCTGGGAAGGTGCTAGACTTCTCTTGGCCACTGAGGCTGGGTGGCACTGAGAGCTGACCCAAGCCTTGGGGTTATCCAGAACCTCCCAGTGTGGGTTTTGTCCAGCACAGGGGTGCTGTCTAGCACAGGGGTGCCTTTCAGAACCTCCCAGCATGGAGTGTTGTCCAGTCCAGGGATGTCGTCCAGGATCTTCCAGCAGCTGGGCTTGTCCAGCACCTCCCAGCACAAAGTGTGCTCACTATGTGAAGCCATGATCTTGCTCACCTTCTTTCCAGGGCCCCTTGAGACAGGATGGAGAAGGGCTCAAGTGCTCTGTCCTCCACCTCTGCCCTTCATAGTGTGCAGGATGTACCTCACCTGGCCGTCCCAGCACCCCATTGGCATTGTCTGTGCTCAGCTCTGTACGTGTGGCTGTTGCCAGCGGTCCATGCTGCCTAATTGGTGTCCCTGGGCCTCCGAGGTGGCATCTTTGAGGCTTGCCTACTGCTCCATGCCACCAAGGAGGAAAGGAGGCATCTGTTGTCCTTATTCCCCGGATGGGCAGTGCTTTATCACCAGCAAGAGTGGAATTCTGCTCCTGGTTACACCGACTGCCACGGCCTCCTTCATGTCCTCCTCCCACAGCAAGCTAGCACACATGTATGATCTCAGGCACATTCGCTCAACTCAAGTATCCATGTGTTTGTTTAGAAGTGTGTGTACACAACCTCTCACAGTTTTCTTACACATGGTCTCACATGTGTACATACATCATGACAGTGCATGTTCGTAAGCATGGATGTGGCACACATGTTCGCTCCTGTGGGCGTGCACACACATTCTTACATTTGGTGTGCTTATGTACATGAACACAGCTCACACATGTTTTCTCACATGTGTACTTTCTGTGTCTCCCCACACACATGTATCTCACACATACGTTTTCCTGCATACGTGCTGTTCATGGATACATTTGGACCATCTCCAGTCTGGTCTTAAAGAAATAGGACACGTCTCTAGGCTGTCAGCTCTTCTCTTCTGCCTTCACTTCTGGGAGATGTAGCAGAACATTAAAGTAGGCAGCCTCTCAGTGAGGGTGCGTGTGACAGAATCTAGTGTCCTGGGGTAGGTTCTAGGGTGGTGGGGAGAGTGACAGAATCCAGGGTCCCAGGGTAGGTGTTCTCAGTGAGGGGGGAGTGGCAGAATCCAGTGTCCTGAGGTAAGTGTAGGTCTTTGGTGGCACTTGAGATCCCCTCCTCCCACAGTCCCTGGTTACTGCCCTCAGTTTTGGAGCCTGCTCTTGAGCTTCTACACCGTCCCCACAGCAGCAATGCAGAGTCTCTGGATCGGCTCCTCCCGGCTGTAGGCACAGGACGCTCACCCCGGAAGCGTACCACAAGCCAGTGCAAGTCTGAGCCCCCCCTGCTGCGGACCAGCAAGCGAACCATCTACACAGCGGGGCGACCACCTTGGTACAATGAGCATGGCACACAGTCCAAGGAGGCCTTTGTCATTGGTGAGCTGGGCAGCCACTGGGCATTGTCCAGCTGTGCCTGCACAGCTCAGACTCATGGTACCTTTGCCTTCTGCAGGCCTGGGTGGTGGCAGTGCCTCAGGAAAGACCACTGTGGCCCGAATGATCATTGAGGCCCTTGATGTACCCTGGGTAGTGCTGCTGTCCATGGACTCCTTCTATAAGGTAAGGCTTCAGGCTCTGTCCGTGAGTTCTTTCTACAAGGAGAGGCACAGGCCCCAGACCTCAGATGCTCATGTACCCATTGCCAGTTAGGAGGTCACCCTGGGAGACCAGCATGCTATCCGCTCTGGCAGGTGCTGACCAGGCAGCAGCAGGAGCAGGCTGCCCACAACAACTTCAACTTTGATCACCCTGATGCCTTCGACTTCGATCTCATTGTTGCCACCCTCAAGAAGCTGAAGCAGGGCAAGAGTGTCAAGGTGCCCATCTATGACTTCACCACCCACAGCCGCAAGAAGGACTGGGTGCGTCAACACCGCTGGTGGTCAGGGCCAGGCGGGCGGGGGCGGGCATGCCCATCACTGGCTATAGTCCTGCAGAACTCTGACCTCAGGGCTGCTTTCAGAAAACTCTCTACGGTGCCAATGTCATCATCTTTGAGGGTATCATGGCCTTTGCAGACAAGACACTGCTGGAGGTGAGGGTGGGGGTGGGGGTTGGGCACTTGGAGGTGAGGGGTGGGGGTGAATGCTGGAGGTGAGGATGGGGTGGGTGGGTACTGAAAGTAGGAACTGGAGGGGAGGGGCAGGGGTGGGTAGGTGGTAGAGATGAGGGGGAGGGCATTGTGAGGGAGGGGAGGAGCAGGGGCTTGGGTGCTGGAGATGAGGTACAGGGGAGGTGGGAGTGGAGAAGAAGGGCAGGGTTGGGGGGTGGACGTGAGGGACAGGGGAGGTGGGTCCCAGAGGTGAGGTGCAGGGCAGATGGGGTGCTGTGGGTTAGAAGTGGGGGAGGTGAGATGCTGGAAGTTAGAGGCAGAGGGAGATGGGTGCTGGGGGTTAGAGGTAAGGGAGGTGGGAGTTCTGGGGAATAATGAAGTGTGAGCATATAGGGGTTATGGAGGTGCATGTGTCGGGGCCATGGCAGGTGGGCAAGGTGCAGGGGTCCAGGATTGGAGAGATGGGATCAAGGGGCTCCTCCATGTTGGAACTCGAATGCTGACCATCCTCATGCCACTTCAGCATTCCCTGGCCCCTCTGACATGTAGCCCACATGGGACACCTCCTTGATGTCCCACCTTCCCTAGCTCCTGGACATGAAGATCTTTGTGGACACAGACTCAGACATCAGGCTGGTGCGCCGTCTCCGCCGAGACATCACCGAGCGGGGCCGGGACATCGAGGGCGTCATCAAGCAGTACAACAAGTTCGTGAAGCCTGCCTTCGACCAGTACATCCAGCCCACCATGCGCCTGGCCGACATTGTGGTGCCCAGAGGTGAGTTAGGCCGCTGCCACAGGGAGAGCCGGTGTGCACAACATAGCCCCACCATGGGTCCCCTCCACCACCCAGGGATCCACAACCCGCCTGGCCCTCCACTTCCTCAGCTCTCCTTCCCACCCTGGGCCCCCACCAGCTCTGCTCCCTGTCCCTCCAGGGAGTGGAAACACAGTGGCCATTGACCTGATAGTGCAGCATGTGCACAGCCAGTTGGAGGAGGTAAGTGCTGTCCCCGAGAGCTCCCTCCCTCTCTCCAGCTGCCCTGCCTAGCACCACCCTCCCCACAGCCTGAGCGCGTTGTGGCCTGTGCGGGCCTAGGGAGTGACCCTGGCCTTGGGGCTTCCACACAGCCTCTTACCCTCTGTGTTGGTTCCTGGAGAACATGATGTGTGGGCACCTGGCCCCAGCTGATCCCAGCTCACCTGGACAGGGCACTTTGATACCTCTCAGTCTCTCGGGTGATGGGGTCACCTGGGTGGTTCTGTGGTGAACCTGGTACTGGCTGGTCCTCACCCCGGCTGGAGTGTCTCACGCCAGTCCCTCACCCCCTCAGCAATCCTCACTCCCTTCCTGTGCCCCCAGCTCAGGGTCCCATTTCAGGTGTGGGTGTCTGTCCCCTAGGGGTGGGGGTGAGGGCATTGTGCTGCGTTGACCTAATGCTGAGCCGGTGCCGCTGTCGCTGACACAACACTCATTCCCTTGTGTCTCCCGTTGTTGCTGCCACAGCGTGAACTCAGTGTCAGGTAAGTCTCCCCGCACCTTCCCAGCAGCCGGGTGGAGCCAGGTGGAGCAGGGCAGTGGTCTCCACAGGATGGGGCCTCTGCCGTGCTCCTAGCAGCCAGGCGAGCACTGGGCCTCCTCCTGGGCTTAGCTGGAGCCACAAGTGCCCCACAGGCCTCACTGGAGGATGAGAGGACAGCAAGGCGGCTCCAGGAGCAAGGGGCTCCCCACATCCAGGCCCTACTCTGCCAGCCTCACACCCAGTCCGAGAGCCCGGCCCTGCCACTGGCACCTGCTGCAGCAGCATGCGCACTGCTTCCTGTTGGCACACGCTCCCCTGTCCGGTAGTGGTTTCCACCTTGAGGTCACCTCAGTCTTTTTTTCTGAGGGAAGAGTCTCTAGGGTGTCAAAGCTGAGAGGCCGCCAGAGGCCACCGCCCACACCTTCCGCCCTTGTTCAGACCCAGGAAGTGGGCCAGGCCCTGGCCACCCGGGCCAGCTGCCATTCTGCTCAAAGAAAGCAAAGGCTTGAGTTTCCCTCCTTGCCGCCTGCAGGCCCCTCACTGAGAGGCCATTTCTCTGTTCTCTTCCTTTTTCTGTGCCTCCTGCCTGCCCCCTCCCCGACCGTCACCTCGTGGCGAGCAGAGGAAGCTGCGTTGGGATATGTGAGGACAGTGTGGTCTGGCCTTCAGTGCTGCCTGCTGGCCCCGAGTGTGGCAGCCCCTCCATGCATGCCCACCTGCCCTGTGCCTGCTGCCCTCCTCCTGCCCTGGCCAGCACTGCCCAGCAGCCCTGCCTGGCCTCATGGGCCTTGCAGGTGTCCCCAGCCTGCTTTCCTGGTCAGCAGACCTCTGTCTCTCTGCCTTGGGTTGGGCTCCAGGAAGCCCCAGGAGGGGGGAGGGAGTTGTCTGTGGGCACAGCCCTTATCACCTGCTTGGGGCTTGGGGCCACTTGTTCTCTGGCTGAGCCTTGTGGTCCGTGAGCTCTTGTGAGCGTCCTGCACACCTGTGACCCTGCCCCTTCCACCTCTCCTGCAGCTTCCTCCTGGTGGGCTCCTCTGCTTCCTACCCAGTGGTCAGCTGCTCTGCTCTGGGCTGTGTGCTTTGACCTTTGTCCTCACGGGATACATGGGGGACCCTAGATCAGCTATGGGTGCACCCTGCACACTTGCCTTGGGCCAAGCCTGTGCCCACTTGCCTCACATAACACATGGGAGAGGGAGGGCCTGCGGCTCCCAAGGGTTTGGGGAGGAGATACCTTGAGTGTCCCCAGTTGGTCATTTGTGACCCTAGGGCTGCGCTGGCCTCTGCACACCAGTGCCACCCTCTGCCACGGACACTGAGCGTTCTCAAGAGCACACCACAGGTGCGGGGCATGCACACCATCATCAGGTGAGGGCCCACCTGGGGCTTCAGGTAGGGTGGCCCGTCTCCCACGCTGGCTCAAGTTGTCCACCTGCCTGTAGGGACAAGGAAACCAGCCGTGATGAGTTCATCTTCTACTCCAAGAGGCTGATGCGTCTGCTCATTGAGCACGCCCTGTCCTTCCTGCCCTTCCAGGTGCCCATGCTCACGAGGTGGAGGGGTGAGCGTGGTGGGGGGAGCAGGGCTCCTGCTGCTCACATGCACCCACCCCCTCTGCTTTGTATGCAGGAGTGTGTTGTGCAGACCCCGCAGGGCCAGGACTACTCGGGCAAGTGCTACGCGGGGAAGCAGGTGCGTGTGGGGAAGCAGGTGCATGTGGGTCAGTGAGGGCCATCTCTGTGGTGCAGACCGCCAGTCCCCACCTGATTGCTGACCTCAGTCATCATTGGTCCCCTGCCCTATCACGACACCTAGATTACTGACCTCCCGCGCTGACCATCCTCCACCAGATCACCGGTGTGTCCATCCTGCGTGCGGGTGAGACCATGGAGCCGGCGCTGCGGGCTGTGTGTAAAGATGTGCGCATTGGCACAATCCTCATCCAGACCAACCAGTTCACTGGGGAACCTGAGGTGGGCAAAGGGGGACAGGGACAGGATGGGGACCCCTGAGGCTGGAGCATGGGGCAGGGCTGGCCTAAGGCTTGGGGGATAGGGCAGGGACAGTCTGAGTTTGGCAGATGGGGCAGGAGTGGCCCAGGCGGGGGCGGAGCTGGCAGGCTGGTATGTAGGAGGCAGTGGGAATGAGGTCTCTGAAGCCTGAGGTCTAGGAGGATGGGACTTGACCCACAGTTTCATTGCCTCCAGCTGCACTACTTGCGGTTGCCCAAGGACATCAGTGATGACCATGTGATCCTGATGGACTGCACCGTATCCACGGGTGCGGCAGCCATGATGGCTGTGCGTGTGCTCCTGGTGAGTGAGTGGGTCTCGGGTGGGCTGGTGGCCAGTGGGAGTGAGGGGCCTTATGGCTCACCTCCCTGTCTCCAAGGACCACGATGTGCCTGAGGACAAGATCTTCCTGCTGTCACTACTCATGGCCGAGATGGGTGTACACTCAGTGGCCTATGCCTTCCCACGGGTGAAGATCATTACCACTGCAGTGGACAAACGTGTCAATGACCTTTTCCGCATCATCCCAGGCATTGGTGAGGCTCCCTGTTCAGGAAGGAGCTGAGGTCAGGGGCCCCAAAGTGAGAGCATCCAGGCTAGGAGGAACCCCAGGCTGGGAAGCCCTGGAGGGATTTTGTGAGTTCACATGGCCGGCTCCTTCTGCAGGGAACTTCGGTGACCGGTACTTTGGGACAGATGCTGTCCCTGACGGCAGTGACGAGGAGGAAACAGCATCTACGAGTTAGTGGCCTGCGGCACCCTTTTCACTCTGAATCCATCCTGGCATCCTCCTGCTCCCTGGGCTAAGTTTGCAAGATGCCCAGATGTTAACTTATTTTGATAATAAAAAGCTACCTGTAATGCACTTTACTTGCCTCATGTCAGATGAAGTTCTGGGAGTTAATCTGATGGGCCTGGGGCAGCAGAGGTGTCTTCCCTGTGGGGAAGCCCAAGGGAGTGCCCCTGGCCCCTGACTGGTGCCCCTGTGGTCCAGAGACCTTCCCCTAGCAGCCTAGGACCTCCTCCTTCATGACCAAGGGTAAGGTGGGACCTGGATTTTAGGACAGGGACTGGACAAGGGAGGGGGCCTGGACTTGGGGAGGCCCTGGCCCCAGGACCTGGAGAGGTGCAGCCCAATGCCTGCCCGCAATGGAGGGGCTCGGTGTCCTAGTCTTCAAGGCAAGAGCAGTATTCTTTTTGGCTCCTATGTCCCAGAACCCTCTCTGACTGGTAAGTTTGTTTATGCACTCTGTCCACATTTAGGTGGGCCTGGGGACTCCAGGCAGTGCCCTTCCTCCAATCTCTAGGCCTGGCCTCAACCCTTTCCTGCCCTCTGCCTCTTTGGTGGCCCCCAACGTCACCCCACAAAGACCATGTCATGGAAAAGGTTGTCTTGTCATTGGGCGGGGACAGGAAGTTGATGGGTGTGGGCCAGATAAAGGCAGGAGGCTTGTCCAAGGGGACAGGGCACCCAGGACAGAGATGGCTGCTGAGGGGCCGAGATGTGGGCAGGAGAGTGGGCTCCCACCAGTGGACTGTTGTCCCAGCCCCTTTCTTGCCCTTCCTTCCTCTCTTCCTGTTTCCTTTCTCCTTATCTGCCACGTACTGAGCTGGCAAGCTCTCTGCCTCATGGATTTCTGGACTGGTTCAAGGGAGCTTGGAGGCTGGTGGGGATATATGAAGCCTGCAACAGACTCTCCTCACCTTGGAGACACAGGTCCTGGGACCCAGAGCAGCCCCACTTGCCAGACAGAAATGTGGGTCCAGCTCTGTGGGTCCCAGGGAGAAGGAACCAAACCTGTGTGCACACCACCTCCACCTATACCATGACTGGGACACGTGCACGTTGCTCTGGCAGGTGAGCCTGAGGGGAGGGCCCTCGGACCCTCTTACTAAGACACTCAGTTCCTGGGAAGGTAGCCATCTCTACCTTTAGAAGGACCAAGGACAGTGAGGAACCAGGCAGGCTTGGATCAAAAGACCTGCCTCCAATGCCTTATCCAGGCTGCAGTCTCTTCTTTAGATGGCAACTTGAAGACCTGATGACATTGAGCTACAGGTTAGTGACATTGGAGGTTTGTAGGGCCACTTCCTGCAGGAAGGACCTCTTAGGTTGCCAGAAATGGGCTACCATCCAAAGTCCTGGGGAAGAGGCTCCAGGCCTTAAGAAGATGCCCTCCTGGGTCCAAGCACTCTACCCAGCTGCAGGGCACACTGGGGCTGGCAATGTTTCCTGATGAATCCTGTTTTGGGGAAGGAGGTGGGGGGGGGCAGGATGCAACAGTGAACACAAGTCCACAGAGCGGCTGACACTCCAAGGAGAGTCTTGAGGCCACAGGCTGCAGACTCTGGCGGGCCCCGGGGCGGTGCCTCCAGGACTGTCCAATCTGAGAATGCAAGATTTCAGGCTCAATCTCAGGTTCGTCAGCCCGGAAGGTGCTGTCTTCCTCCAACGGCCGAGCTGTGCCAGGACAACTCAGTGGGGGATGGGCACCCTGGTTTTCTTGGTGAGAGTCTAGGTGCCAGATCCGTCACAGGGCATATGTAGTGTCACACTGACAGAAGTAGGATAACTGCACCTGCCCCAGAAATTGGGATGGGGCCTAAAGGAAGAGGCATCACCAACTCAGGAAAGAACCCCCATCTGGCCCAGTCAGCACCCCAGCTCTTCCAGTCCTGAAAAAGGGCCTTCTAGGAAGAAACCTGCAGGAGCAAAGCTAGAAGACCACTTGGGCACCTGGGCTACGCCTGAGGAGCCATGGCAGTTCTGAGATCACTTAACCAATCAAGGCAGGGAGGCTGAGGGGAAGAACCAGGGTCCAGATGCCCACAACCACCTGGGCTGGAGGGAGTGGGTGTCTGTGGGTGTGTTTGGGTGGTTCTGGAATGGATCCAGGAAAGTTACAGGGCTGGGAACCAGTGGCTTCAGTATTTACACTGTATGGAGCAGTTCAGACCAGCTAGGTCAGGATCCCTCCCTGGGGTGGTGGCATCCCCAGTGGAGTTTGGCTTCCAGAGGAGGGCCTCTGGAGGCTGTGATTTGAGACCTGACGTGAGTAGGACATCCAATCTCCTGGGCTGCATATGCCCTGGGCAAGCCGCTGGAGGGCAGCCAGTGATGGTAGCAGGGTGCACACCCTCCAGGCCTTATGGCCCTTGGTTCTCGTGGAGGTCCGCACCCTGTGTCCTTGTTTACTGTCCCTCCACCCATGCAGACCAACGTTGGTCCTCAGAAGTGCGACCTGCCTAGGCTCAGTTGCAGGCCCCTCCAGGTGTGCAAGTTATAGTCCTTGTGCCTCAACATCAAGGGCACCACATATGTGTCTATCCCCTCTCCTTGGGAGGGTCTTAGCTCTGTACCCTCCACCTGGGCCCCGCCCACCTCTGCCTTATGGATACGCCCTCAATCACCCGGCCACCACGAGTCCCTCCACCTTGACCCCTGCCAGGTCCCGCCCACCGGGCACAACTTCCACTACAACCCTCCCACCTGGGACGCCCCCCAGCTGCCAGGTTCCTGCCTCTTGGAAGTGCAGAGGGTTTCCCAGCAAGTTCCTGACAGGGGGTGGGCATGGGATGTGTGAATAGTCGGAGGGGAGGGTCTCTGCAAGCAGTTGGGCTTGGGAGCCCCGCAGACTCTTGTTTGCAGGAAGATGACTCAGCCAACAGGTTCAAGGTAGAGGGACCCCAGGACCGGTCGGAATGTTCTCGAGGTTCCATTTAACCTCTTGCTCACATTCATGGCTCCAGTGTCCTCAGACAAGAGATGGCATGAAGGCCATGACTGGTGTGCTGCGCCCAGGGTGTGGACCCCACCGCACCCAGATCCAGAACAGGGCTCTCCAGATGTGACTCTCAAGTGGCATGGCGGCACCCTCTGCACTGCCTGGGGTTTCACTGAGGCTTCCTATGTTCTTACTTTGACAAGAACTTCGTACTATAAAATACTGAAAAGAACGAACCTGATAGGACAATTCAGAAGACCACACTGTAAGAAAAGCACCAGATTGCGCTAAGCCGGAGGGAGTTCTCTGTTCATAGGCCGCAAATGTGGGGCAGGGGAAGCTGGCTGGACACGCCTCACCCCATCACTGCACTTCTGGTGTGCGGCCAGGCTGCACTGGGAGGGCAGGACGTACACATTGAGGCCCTGCATCAGCGGCAGGAAGAGGGGTCTAGGTTGGAGCAGAGGCTTCAGGAGGGGAGTAGACAGAGCGCTTGGGGGCCATGAAATCCATGGAGGTGAGCAGCCAGGGGCCAGCAGGGGGGCAGGCAAGCAGGAGGTGGGAGGCAGTGGTCTAGGAGCCAAGATCAACTCTGAAAACCCCTGGTCTCATTTTGAGACTGGCTGCCACACTGCTGACAGCACCATTCACACAGCGCAAGACTGGGCAGTAGCAGTTAGATGACTCCGACAGGGCCAAGTTAGGGCAGTGACTGGGGAGAGGGACGGGCGGCCATCAGCACTGTAGGGACCTTCTTAGTGTCTTGTAATCCTTGTGGTTTTGTGCCGCCTCAATGTTTTCAACAGTCATTTTTAAAGCCCCTCAGTGTAATGCTTGGCCAGCTCCCATCTCTGCCCACCATGCCAAGTCCAAAGGGCTGCTTTACTGAGGACATTTCCTCACAAGGACCTGGGGGGAGGCTGGGCAGCGTGCTCCTCCCTGGATGACACTCAGCAGAACTAGAGGCCTACCCTGTGCTGAAGACAGCCAGAGGGACTCCGGTGGTCTAAGCACTGGTCCTCTCCCTTGCTGACCGCAGAGATAGGGCCTGTCATGTAGGTGGTGCTGATGGAAAGGCCAGCTGGGCTCGCCCTGCAGCAGGGCGCTCTCAGGCTCCAAGAGGCTCATACAGGACACCGGCCATCACACACAGAGGTTCAGAATCGTATGGCCTGCTCAGAACCACACTCAGTGAATGGTCACCACAAATCAGGACAGCAGAGTGCAATTAGATGCACAAGGAGCTGAGACAGTGGTCAGCCGGGTAGGCACAGTGGTACTAAGCTGGCTGCCATTATGTTGGCCAGAGCCATGCAGACCATGAGACCTCCCTGTGCTGAGGGAAGATGACATGGAGAGGAAAGGATGACAGGTCAGGAAGTGAGGGCCCAGTGCTTTGGGCAGGGTCTGTCACAGGAAAGTTAAAACTTAAGTGCCGGGCTGGGAGTGACGCCTCACACCTCAAGTTGGCTGTCCAGAGTGTGCTGTTGGGCAGAGGTCTGTCTGCAGGAGACATTCAGGATAAAGACCGGGCCTACAGTGTTGCTTGGTGTCTTCCAGTCTCGCAGACTCAGGTCAGTTTGATGGATGCCTGCACCAGGGGCAGTACAATTTTGGCAACAACCTGGCCATGTATTTCAATGTAAACACCCCATCACAGACCATCAGAGGAGGTTACAGGACTTAGTTCTGCGTCCTTCTAGTGGTGTCAGGGACCTTTCCAGGCCAGCACAGACTCAGGCTGTCTTCCTGGATTTTCACAACCTTTCATTCCTCATTGCATCCTACAGTATCAGCTTTGGTCACTGGATGTATCTGATCTTGAAAAATCAGACTTAAGGCTTGAAGGGAGACAGTTTTGCCACATGTGGGCCAGGAAATTGCAGCAGAAACCCTGGTGTGGACACGGTGGTCCTTGAGCACCACAGCTTTGTAGTATGAGCACTGCCATAACTAAAGCCAGCTGGAGGAGAAGCAGGGCTGCCAGGAGACACTGGCCACCTTGGTCAACTGGAGGCCATGTCCTGCCCCTTCCTACACGCAGGAAGCAAAGCTGTGGTGCACCTGTGGGCATGTGGGCACATCCATGATTCTCCCGGACAGCACAGTCCACAGGGAGACAAGCCAGAAAGGGGAACAGATCAGACTGGCTCACGTTTGCAGGCTCCCAGCTCTCCCAGAGGCTCCCTCTGTCCTCCCCACCTGGCACTTGTACCCCTTTCTGTGGAGTGACCACCCCGTGCAATCCAAGCTGGCAGTATTCTTCTTCTGCTTGGAGGGTACCTCCCAGACCACCCTGTACCAGCTAAGAGGGAACAGGCCCCCTGCCCTGAGTGACACTCAAGGTCACTTGAGTGATGACTCTTGTCAGCCTGGCTGTGGTTCTTCTCCCACTAACAGCTCCCAGGTGTCTGGGTGGGCGCTGGGTGTGAGCTTGACATCAGAACCCAGGGCTGGAACACTGGGCAGTGACAGATAAGACCAGGATGGTTGCTGACGCTCTGAGCAGCAGGAGCTCCCAAGAGCCATGTCTCCAGGCAGGCTAGCCCTGGGGACATGTGCACGCTATTCTGGCCACCCTCTGGGTACCTGATATTTCCTGGGCAACAGCCCACAGCTCCAACAACAGAACCATCTGTGATAATAGACATGACTAGAGCTCCATCCAGCAGCCCCTGCTGGCCTGGCTTCGGGTGAATGGCTCCTGGCACTGTGCCTACAACTCAGCAGAGTGGCAGCAGGTGGGAGGGAGCTCAGGCCCATGGTCACTGCAGACCTCCCAGTGCGGTCCTAGATGCTGGCGCCCCAAACAATAAAAGCAAGCCACCGTCATCATCATTTATTGAGTTTTTACAAATTCTACAGAGAAGGGCCTGGGCCAACACGCTCCACGCCTGCTCTCATAAAAGATGGGAGCACTAAGGAGCGTGGATGGGACTGATGGGGGCACACTTTGACACATGAGAAAAGGGCTGGGTTCCCGCCAGAGCTGCCAGTGGGTAGGACCGGGCAGGGCAGACATGGATAAGGGCAGGGAGAGAGGCATGATCCAGACCCCACAGGGCTGGGACCCCCTGGTACAGACCCCCCACTTTCCCTACAACTCAGCTGCAGTGCGGCTTTCTACCTCACACAGAACTCAAGTCCATTCAGAACCTGGTTCTCAGTCATCTGGGGACAAATACTTCGAAGAGATGTCCACGGGCTTGTTACGCATGCATCTGAAGCCAGATTCTTTTGGTGGTGGTTTGGGATTGGCACAGAGAATTAACATAGTCCCCCTGGTCTCCAGGAGCCCAGCATGCCTCCAGCTTCGTATCCTCCTCAGGAGGCCTGAATTGACTGGACTGTGCTAAGTGAACATCTTCCTTCTCATCAAGTCTTCAAGATCATTTTAATGAGTCAAAATCAAGTAGCAAGGATATACCAGTGCACCCTTGTTGGGTGTGCACAGCCCAGGTCATGTTGAGGCGCTGTGGCACGAGGCCCGCTGTCTTCCCTTCGTCTTGTCTCTTTGGCCACTTGTGGTTGGAGTGATTTAAGCCTCATGGGTCTTTGGGTGGGCAGGCAGGTGGCTTCAGGCGAGGAGTACAGGGAGATGCAGTCCTTCCTGGTCTTTCCAGGGTGGCTAGAGCACATCGCAAACTCCAGTTACGCTCTTATGACTCTTTGCAGGCCAGGCTATCCCTTAGAAAACACAGGCTTTCCAACAGTTCACACACCATGCTGTTCAGGAGCCATGGGAGCCCGCCTTCTTCTTCTGGGCTCAATCCACCCAAATATGTGAGCTGGGCTGGCCTAAGCACTGTGTGCCTTGAAGATGCAAAACTCAGAAGGGGCAGGAGCTTGGGCGGAATGTGGAGTGCAAGTGTGCGGGGAGCACGGAATGTGGCTGCTGCCCAACTGCCCAGCCGTGGACAGCTGCTGATGAGAGTGAGGAGGGTGGGAGACATAGCACAGGCGGAAGGACACTGGGAGGGACAGGAACCTCGGAGTTACCGAGACACAAAAGCTAAGCCACAAACACAGGGCCAAGAATTTGGTTTCGACATCAAAAGGGGCTCTTTCTATGCTTTCCATGTGATTTCACCATGGGAACCAGACCACAGGTGCCGTAAACAAAGGTGAGCAGGTTCTGTGCAAACCGTGGCCTAGATGCTGCCGCCTGGAGCCAGACGAGGGTACAGGCCTGCGAGGAGGCGTACTGCCAGGGCCAGGCTGGGCTCTAAGCTGGTTCCAGCACACAGAAGGCCTGGGTGCCACTGCGGGGCTGGGGGGCACCCACGACACGGACAGACATGAACATCACCCCATACATGCTATTAAAAAGGACAAAAAGGAAGAGACCGTAGCGGAACTGCTTTAAATACTGCATGCTACGCACGTCACGAGTGAGGGGACAGTGGGCAGGCTGGGCTGGCCCTCGGCGGAAGGAGGGTGCAGCCCCCAGGCAGCGCTGCCCTCCCCGCCAGGGCGCCCGCGCTCTGCACCTACAGTCCAGGTTCTAGGTGGAGGTGGCCGCTGGCCACTCGGTCTACTCGCAGCTGCTGCTGACTTAGTTAAACCCGTCGGTATGGTAGCTGGGGTGGGAGTCGGCTGTCAGCTGGGTGGTCTCCGTGGCAGACGCAGGCTGGATCACGATGGGCGTGCCTGCAGCCTCTGAAAAGCAAATGCAGGGCTGAGCACATGTGGCTGCCCGGGGCTGGCCTCCTGCTGCTCTGGAGCCCACATTCTGTGGCCAGGCGGCCACAGGCCAGCGACCACGAGCCCTACGCTCGCTCGCCCGGAGGCTTCGGTCCCCGCCAGCCCACCCGCTGCCCAGCCTGGCCCTCGCACGGCTGCACACGGTCTCAGCGGGGACCGCTGGGCGAGTCCGCGTTTACCTCCGGCGTCCGCACACTCGCCAGCCGCCACCACAAACACGCCCGCACAGGCTCAGTGCCCTCCTGTTTGATGAGACAGGGGACGCACTCAGGGCTCCTTCGGACGCCCCACACACTCAGGCCAGCCGCTTGGGCGCATGCACTCACCCCTCTCGTCTGACTGCAGCTGTGCCTCCAGGTCCTCCGGAGACACGTACACCTCAGCCTCCTCGCCCTCGGGCGGCCTCGGCTTGCACTTGCCACAGCAGCAGTTGAAACAGCAGCACAGGCAGCAGCAACAGTAGCAGCAGGTGAGGAGGCCACAGAAGACGAAGAGGGCCTGTGGGGGAGCAGAAAAGGTTGGGGGCCTCCTTCAGACTGTCCCCCACCTGAGGACAGTGTGAGTGAAGGGCCACCTTTGCAAGCCATTTCCAGGGAAGAACTCCCAGAAGGGCAGGCAAGGCAGAAAGGCGGAGTCACTTAAAGAACAGGGTTGTTTGCAAGGGCAAGACAGGCAATGAGTGTGGGTGTGCAGCTAGTGGCCGGATTGTCCCAGCCTGTGCAGAGAGCAAGCGTGTCTGATAAGCTAAAGTGCTTTAAAAGAAGAGCTAATGAAAGAAAGAAGAGCAGGAGGGAGCTCTGGTGGCCTAGCTTTGCTGCCAACTCGAAGGTACATGGTTCGAATCCACCAGCAGCTCTTCTGGAGAAAGATGGGACATCTCCTCCCTTGTGATTCACTGACTCTGAAAACCAGCTGTGGGTTGGTTCTGACTGAATGGCACACAACAATAGGTGAAATGATTCTGAAGCCAGGACCCAAGTGTGTTTGCCCTGTGACACAAAATGACAAAGTGTCCTTCCTAGTCAGCCCAAGCTGCCGCCCCCCGGCTCACCCCAGTGCTGGGCCCCCTGTCCCAGGGCTGTCTCCACACCATGGCCCTCACCTTGGCCCACCAACTGGACAGCACAAAGTAGGTGTTCACATTCTCCTCGCCAAACTGCTCGGCTACATAGAGGCCCAGGGAGCCGTACTTGTCATAGATGTTCCTTTTCGTGGCATCGGTGAGGATGGCATGGGCGTTGTTGATCTCCTTGAACTTGTCGGCTGCCTCTGGGTTATCTGGGTTCTTGTCAGGGTGATACTTCAAGGCAAGTTTCCTACAAACCAAAACCATCTCCTGGTTTTAAACTTGGTCTGGAGTTTCAGCACCACAGTGAGCAGGTCTAGTGAAAGGAAACACTTACCCGTTACTAGCATATGCTTCCCAGCTTTTCACAAAATGACCCTCACTGCCCAAGAGGCCTATGGGGTGACAAACACAGGGCAGCCCTGGCTGCAGGAGCAGCAGCTACCTGGCATGGCCTGCAGGGACCATAGCAGCAAATGTCCAGCAGGCAAGACCCGCCCCACTGTGACTCTCCGCTCCCTGAGGCCCCACGAGCAGGAGTGAGGGCACAGCAGGGGTGCTGTCTGCAGGGTCTGAGCCCAGGGACAGTGTCCACAGCTCATGTTAAGAACCTAAATGCTAAATTCATGTTCAGCAGTAGCTACAGCAGAGTAAGCTGTACCCGTGCTGAAGTTCTAGGGCAGGCAGTCATTGAAAGCTTGCCAGTGCTGTGCACAGCCGGGTCTCCACACAAGCTCAAAACCTGTATTCCTGTAGAAGTAGCCATTCTACTTAAGAGGATGGGTACATCTATAAAAGGTGACTTTATATCACTGCCAAGAAAATACAAACAATACAACCCTTTTAGACTATGAGAAGCACATTATATAGATAAACGTGTAACTGAACATGAGTTGGACAAACATGAGGGGAGTGGTCTTTGTTGAAAAAGACCAGTCTATACCAGAGGCACATGTGGTCCCTGGTGAGGTGGGGGGAGGTAAGTCACTACTGACAACAAGCAGAAACCCTGCCACTGAAACCAAGCCACGGGGACCACACTGATTCTGACTTGCAGGGATCCTGCGGGGCAGAGCAGAGCTGCCCCACAGGGTACACTTCTAAGGAAGAAGAACGTCACCCCTTTCTCCTGTAGAGTGGCTGGCGAGTTGGAACAGCTGACCTTTCAGTTACCAGCAGTGTGCTGACCACTGTACCCCCAGGGCTCCAATCTTACCGATAGGACTTTTTAATGTCATCAGATGTGGCGTTCTTGTCCAGCCCCAGCACGTGGTACAGGGATTCTCCAGAGGTGGAGAGAGAGCGCTGCCTCTGGTCGGCCATGGTAGGCTACTCTACAAAACAAAAGGGGCAATGAGAAAGTAGAGATCCAAATCCCTCCTGAGCAGCTGCTGGGGCCTGGTCTGCACTCCTGGAAGTGCCTCCCACTGTCATCTTGTGTCCTGCAAAAATCCATAGAGCAACCCCTATACAGAAACAGAGACACAGCTAAGAAGCTAAGAGAAAAATGGAAGTGATACATGGAAAAATAGTCAGTCACATGAAAGGCAGCAGGAAAAAAAGAACAGAGTGGATAAGCAGAAAGCAAGTAATGAAGAAGTAGACCCAACTAACCCTGGCAGTAATTCAGTGCCAGTGGAGCAAAAGCTTCATCAAAAGGCAGAGACTGTCAGAATGGATGGAACTGCTGTTCACAAGAGACACCCCTGAACACATGAAGCAAAAATGGGCAGAACTAAGGGAAAGGTAACTCCATGAGCAGAGAAGCCTTCTCAGAAATGCAAAAAACAATTTAAAAATCCATCAAAATACTTATGATTTGAGCAACACTATCAAGCAACCCCCTCCCCAAGAAAAAGTCCTCCAATACCCCAAGGACTGCCAAAACAATGAACAAGTCCGTCAGCCAGCACTCCCCTTACAGGCAAGGATGGAGGAACTTTGTCACACATATTTTGGCCATGTTGTCAGGAATGGACAGTCCTTGGAAAAAGGTATCATGGTGGGAAAGGTCAGGAGAGGCTCTTCAAGGAGGCAGACCAACACGATGCCTAAGCCTGGAGCCTGTCGGACGAAGACGGTGCAGCACAGGGCAAGGACCCTACCTGCTGTTCACAGGATCTACGAGTCCTAGCTGACCGCATGGCATCATCAACCGCTTTGACCTGTACAACATCTACTCCTTTCCCGCCATCGTGGTCTGAGTGAAAGTGGGAGAACAAACTGGTTTCCCTCTCAAACATCCATATATATTTTATGATATAAATACAACACATCCACAAGCTTGTGAATTTCTCCACATTTTCTCTTTTTTCAAGTGATAATTTGGGCATGTTGCCAGGAAGGACCAGTCCTTGATGAAGGACATCATGCTTGGAAGGGTGGAGGGACAATGCAGGAGAGGAAGAACGTGGGTCAGATGGAATGACAAAGTAACTGGGTAATGGGGGTAGATGTGTCAGAGACAATGAGACTTGCTCAGGATATGACAGGATTCAGAGCTATTATACACCGGGTTGCTATGAGTCACAGATGACTTGACAGCACGTAACAACAGTATGTGATGTGCAAAACACACCTTCTATGTGTATACTGCACACCCACCAAGACATGCCCATACTTTGTCTCTTTTTTCATTATTCAGTTAATTTTGTTTTCTCTTAGAATCTTTACACCTTACATGATTTATCCCTCCCACGTGTGCGCAAACACACACACACACACACACACACACACACACACAACCCTACACTAAGAATCTGTAATTTCTCCACAAAGTTGTTATGAAACGGATTCTATGATTTTCTTGTCAACCAGCTTAAAGGAAATAAATGTAGTTTTATTATACTTGCTCCCAGTTTGGCCCACGCCAAATGATTGTTTAATCCAAATATCTGAGCAGCAAACTGAGCTGATCCTTCTGGAGAAAATACGGTTGAAGGGAGCTCTGGTGGCCTAGTGGCAAGAAGCTGTGTTGCAATCCAGACGGCACGAGGTTCGAATCCACCAAATGCTCTTCTGGAGAAGAAGGAGCAATGTCCTCCTGTGCTAGTTGGATTCAACTTGACAATACACAACAAGAAAAGAAAGTACAGTTGAACAGCCAAGACCACTGGGTACATGAAAAGAAGACCATAAACCCTGAGTGCCCCAGTGTGTTGTGGTAGGGGACAGCTCCTCACTGGATATATAGTGTTTCCAGACAGCAGATCCCAAACCATTGCTTCTGCCCGTCACTGCTATCAATATAGTAGGAATGCCATCTCCTTTATATTAGGCTTTAATCTTCAGAGTTTCATCTGGTCCTTTGTGGGCAGATGTTACCCAAAGTTCACATGAAATTTTCCTCACTGCCTTGATTTTTTCATAGTGAGAGAGATCAGAGGTTGAGCCCATCAGTAGGACAGCTTTGCACTGACTGATTTCAGAAGTTCCTCTACTCTCTTTCTCACCCATTCAAATGTTTACCATCAGGAACCACTTAAGGTCACGATATGACAGCTTGTCTTTCTGCTGGCTTCGTTCGATCTTCCAATGGCCAGAATCTCCAGGAATCATGATCAATACCATCAGAAAAAACAATTTCTTTGGTGAACATATCAACACCAAATTCAACCATCATATCAATGAGTATGCAGTTCTGGGGCATCCAAAATCTGTCCAGTATTTCAGAAATGCCCTGTGTGGCACGACTCATAGTACTCACTTCAGTGTGGCCTATCTTGTGATATCCAGCAAAACAAAAGTCTGCAGCAACCAGCGCTCCTTGGGCCATTGTGGGTCATAACTGGCATCATCTTTGCAAAACATCTCTACTTTAGGTGGGCAAACTTACATCCTTCCTTGATGCCAGGTTTCTTTTGAGCAAAGAACCAGTTGCTATTCTTCTACAAATCCATTCAACTGGAATCATTTCACACTGGGGCATACTTAAAGATATCTGCCCACATTTTCCGGTGAAAGTGGTTTTGATACTTGCTTCTTGTAATAACTGAAAAATACAGCTGGTAGTTTTACTTGAAATCGCAGTTTTTTTCCTTCCAGGTGATTCTTTTGAGCTGCATTTCCTGCTGTAATCTTGTCCTTGGACTTAGGAGGACTTTTCCTGGATTATTTAACAATTCATACACAACTTTTTTTCTTTTTTTAATTTGCGACAAATTTAATGAAACTAGTACACACATATTTTAAAATGTTGAATATTTGATATAGAGCAATGCTTTTCACTTATATTCACAAGAGGATTAAAATGATGGCTACAAAACAGCATGCTCAAGATGAAAGAGTGTTAAAGTAAAAATTACAGAGAGAAAGTCTAAGAAGAGGTGCAGCAAAACAAGACCGAGTTTTCCTTTTCACTTCACTGCTGTTTGTACATGTATATATGAGCTGCACATTTTGTTTGCTTTTAATAAAGGTTAACATAATTAGGGTTCAGCAGAAAAATCAGTGCCTTGTTCTGAACTTAATTTTGCTAGTAATCTCTTCCAAGTGTTTTAAATGTACCCATTCAGAACCAGAATTCATTTTGTCTGGAGCAATTCTAGTTTGAGAATCAAACGGTCACATAAATGACAAAGCAAACAGGCATAAAATGTGAGGAAAACAAGTGACAAAATAACTATAAACTTTGTCCTCCTGGCCATTACAGCATAATAAATTTACAGTTAACCAAAAAACATTTTTATCCTGATCTTCAAACAGCAAACTGATTACTTTTCTCCCAAGATAATCATGATTAACTTATAAAAACTGGCATTTACATTTTATCTCAAAACATTTCGCTGTAACAGGAAACTTAGCATTACTGAATTTCAAGATTAAAAAGTTAAAAAAAATCCATTTTGTTGCTTTTGTGAAACAGGAGCTAAAAAGAAAATAAAAAATAACAATAAAACAAACAGGATAGGAGCTAGCATTCAGTCGAGAATATCCACTTGCACTGCAGGTCCTTCTCCTCTAAGAACCAGCACTGTTACATTATTTCTACTGGGCAGAATCCGATCCAATTTAGTAATTCTTCCTTCTGGTGTGATTTCACTAGTGGCACCAGTTGCGAAGGGCTGGTGGAAGTGTTAGCCGCCATGGCTACACTGGAAGTGGCCTGCGTTTCACAGCATCCAGACAGCCCATAGACTTCTTTTGTTTTTCCCTCATAGAGTTTTCTACCAATGTTTGGTACAGGTTACCATTATTTTGAGTAGGCTGGGGGCAGTGACCAGGCCTAGATGCTGGCTTTTAACTTTCCATAAAATTAAATGGACTTAAAAAAAAATTAAATGGACAGACATAAAATACAATATGTTCTTTGATCATAATAGGATTAAATTAGAAACTCATCAGATATGTAGGAAAACAGAAATATTTAATAATAAAAAAGTTTCAAATAACACAAAGATAAAGAAGACATAAGAAAAATTTGAAAGGGCTTTAAATGTAATAATGAAAATAAAATGTATTAAATTTTGTGGACTGGGCTTTTTTTGTAAATTATTTTACAATGTGTAGAAGTTTAAATGCTGAAATGAGGACCATAGGCTCCACCTTAAGAAGCTAGAAGTGTTAAGTCATGTACAATGGGAAAAAGTCAAGAAAAAGTAGAAATCAGTGAACTAAAAAACAAATGGGAGAGTCTCTGTGAAGCTAAAAGTTTATTTTTCAAGAACAAATTGATAAAACAAGCCAGACTGACCAAGAAACAAAGAGAGCTCACACCACCTGCCTCTCAGACTCACCTCCTAAAGGCATGAAACAACATTGTGTAAAAAATAGAAAAAGTCAAATGAATTGGACAATGCCTTAAAAAATATATATATATAATTTACCAAAACTAGCACAAAATGGATCAAAATCTCAATAGGTCTAGATCTGTTAAGGAAACTTAATTTGTAATTATCAAAAATAAGCCTTTCTCACAAAGAAAACTACAGAGTGTGATGATTTTTCTAGCAAACATTTAAGGAAGACATTGTATCAACCCTAAAGAAACACTTTCAAAAAAAGAAAGAAAATTGTATCATCACTAAAAATTTTTATTTTATACTGGTTTACTTACAAAGTTTGTATACACTGTTTCTCACACTGGATCTTTCCCATTTCCTTTTTACTCACCGCTCCGGCCACCCATCAAATTGTGTGCTCATCGTGTTTTTTGAGGCTAACAAAATAAGGACACAGGCGGCAGCACCCTTTGCGAGCAGCACTCGCGCCCTGTGGTCCTAGATCTAGACTCAGGGACCCTTCAGGGTGGGAAGGGACTGCTCTGCTCATCCTCCTTCCTTGAACAGATGGTGGGTGTGAACCCCCGAGACACGGCAGCCTTC